GTTGTTAACAAAATCCATATGAGACTAAAATGTGAAACACAATGTAGCTGTTGTTGTTAATCACAAAGACATTGCTGTATTCTATCCATTTTGCGACACATTTCTTCACCATTCTTTTACTTAGTCCTCAAGAAATGCAATATGGAAGTCGTTTATATCTTATAACGAGTTCTTATTGATATATAGTCTGTGATGATCTCTGGTTAGCGTCTGTCACGCGACTGGTTGAACATAGGTACAAATTGTTACCACTATACTTCAACGTTCGTTTGAGATCGTGTTGTACAAAATTGATTCTTAGATTAGGAAATTTACTATTACTTACTTGTAAACCTTTCATTATATAACGATATTCTTCACAAATAAGAGCACTACCAGCATAGGCACCATCAACATGAAACCAAAGTTTTTCACGTTGACATATTTCACCAATTTCTTCTAGATTATCATATGAACAACAAGACGTTGTTCCTAATGTACCCGAAACCTAATATGACATCAAAAAATATCATTTGAAAATGTAATCAACTAGAACTAAATAACAAACCAAAAATGGTATTAATCCTTTTTCTTTATCAGCTCGAATACATTCTTCTAATGTTTTACCACGTAATGAAAAATGTTCATCAACAGCTAATTGTCGAACACGAACCATAGCAATTAAACCTGCTTTTTCTACACATGAATGTGCCTAAAAAGAAACCAAGCAGTATTTTTCTTTTGACGAATGAAACCTTTTGTATATCATACAAGTTTTGATGTATAACAAACAAGTCGAGCCAAAATTTGTCCATCTTCCATTAATGGATCTGCTTGACGTTTACTTGTTATTTTCTTTGTACGTGCAGCTAACATTGCAACTAGAATACATTCACTTGCCGAGCCCTAGTGAAGAAAAACAAATAAGAATAATTACATTTATTATATTTTATTTTTAATGTTACTCTGTTCAACTAACAAAACAGTTTCTTCAATTAATAAATGATTTTTAAAACGATAAGACACTGAATCGAGACAAATGAATTTTACTACAATCTAAACTCGTTGATATCAACTAATTGGATATAATGGAGTTTTAGATTTTGATAAAAATTTATACCAATAAAAAAATTCTATGAAAAACTTCTTCGCATCGATTTTACAACTTATAATGAGTACAGAAACAAACTCAAGAATGAATTCTCCGAAAGAATAGATGAACCATAGTCGTTAATATCTGAATGCAGAATTTAGGGGAGTATTTAAAAACGTTACGTAATCATTAAAAATGAAATATTTCTTACAAGAAGAACACCACCACCAATATGTCGAGTTTGTTGTTGTTCATGATTGTTTTCCCCATTACCTATCGAATCATGTAAATCATCTTCTCTTGATTCTTCATCACATTCTGAACATGATTCTTCATCATCTTCATCATCATCATCACTATCCTTATTATCACGATTTGGATCAAATGGAAGAAAACCAACAGGTAATGCCATCATACGACCTATGAAAAAAAAAACTCTTTCATGTAAAATTTCACATTAATAATCATTGTTCTTTTCATACCAATCCAATCAAGCATAATTGTTTCAAGTTCAGTACATGCTGGACTTGCTGCCCAAGAAAAACCAACAATTCCAACACCAGCTGAAAGCATTTCACCAAGTATTGATGGATAACTATTACCAGCTGGAAAATAAGCATGAAAACGTGGATGTTGCCAATGTGTTATGCCAGGCATAATTGCTTGTTCAACATCTTTCATTATATCATCCCATGCTTCACTTTTTTCTGGTGCATTCTTTGGTAACATTGGTCGTAAATAACCTGGTTCAACTTCAGGTGTTACACGACGTTCGCTAATAGAAATTACAAAGTAAACGATTTTAATTTTATGTGAGAATTTTTATTTTTACTGAATATCTTTAAGATAATCAGCTATATAATCAATCATTTCTTTTCCTCGACGACGAAATTCTGCATCATCCATTCCAGGTATAGATGATATCGGTTCATAATGAATTTGAGATGAATTTCGTACAAGATCAGGTTGTACATCATTATGCCGTTCTTCAATTTTACTATTCAAAAAAACAAATAAACAAAATGTAATAGTTGACAGAAAAAAAAGGATTTTTAATAATTAACAAAGAAATCAAATAACCATTTTCTAATAAAACATCGTCTCTGTATCGGCAAATGATCTTGATGATTATCGTGACATGATATAGACAATGATACTTGTGTAACTTCAATCATATTGTTTATTTTGATATATGTGCAAGAAAGGAAATGATTTTTTTTTAAATCAATAACAGATTGTTGCCCATCTGGATGATATTTTTCTCCTTAGTTAAATTCTAGTACAAATAATAGATTCTTACTTTTGTTGTTTTGTTAAATCACCTATGTTTGAAATTCGATGATCATCTGTTTTGATTGATATCTGACGGGAAATTCGAGATGCATTACGTTGTTGATTATTTGATGAACTACTTGTTGTTGTCATTGGAACTATACGATCAAAAAATGTTGATAATGGTAATGATGAACTTATTTCAGGTATAGATGATGCATTTGATGATGTTGCAGTGTTTGAATGAAATAAATTCGTTAATTTATTATACAATGCTCCAAAACTTCTATCCATATTAAGATATATGTTGATCAAATGAATGAATCAATCTAATGTTGATTGGATTTCTTCTTCGATGTAGTTTTTTCTTTGTCGTTCATCAAATATCCTGACTGAGCAATAGGCAACTCAAGTCTTTTTTTCTCACTCTCTTTCTATCATCGTATGCTTGCCTACACACTTGAACATTTCTTTCTTGTGACAACAATGAAAATGATGGTTTATTATAGAAATAAAGAATCAGAGAATAAAAAAAAACGATTAAAATTCATGCTATTTTTTTCCTTCTTGTTGTTTCTTAATAATGTAGGAGCCAAAAAAAAGAAATTATGTGATAAAAATAACACGTCAAATAAATATTATACTATTGTATAAGATAGAAATACTTGTTGTTGTTGTTTCTAATCAAGATACACAATAATGAACTTAGTTTCTCTTTCATGAATTTAGAGTCCAGTAAACGACATTGTTATGAACAAATAGACAACTTCTATAAGGCGTATACGTTGGATAATATTAGATCGGAAGCATTTCTTTATTTGTCCAACAACTTTCACGCCCACTCTATATCAAAGATGTTCGGCTTGCTTTTATATATGTGTACGGCATTCATTAATTGGTTCTTAAACGAACAACTTCCTGTGTATGTGTGTTGTCGAATACGGAAATAACTTGTTCAATCGATAAAAAAAAAATGATGTGAAAATAAAAAGAAAAACAACAATGCCAATCCAATCAAAATTTTTATCGATTTATTATGAAACAAAAAAAAAATAAAGAAATCATATAAGAAACAACGTATTAATCTATATATAGAAATCTATATATATATGTACACTTTGTCGGGACATTACATCAAGGTTTAAATAGACTAGCTGTATTTCGTTTACGTTTTTGTCGAGCAAATGCATACACCATTTCTAGAACAGATGAAGGTGAAAATAATGTTTTCGTTTCATCATTTGAAGGTGATCCTATTGATTTGTTATCATCAAATGTTGTTACTAATGGAAAAATATTTTCTTCTGTTTGTGGTAAAAGTCTAGAAAAAAAAAACAAAGACACATTCACAATAAATCATCAAAGATAACACCAAATGATTTTTTATTCGTTATAAAACAACATACTTGAAAATTTTATTGCTATCTAAGAATTGTTTTGGATCATTTGCATCTGTTCGATTTGAATCATCTTTAATATCTGAAAAGATTTTTGCATTATAAAGTGATTGGAGCATCGTAATTGCTTGTGTTCTAATAGATATGAAAAATTTTTTCAGTTGATTTCAAATAAAATTTCTCATTACCGTGTAACCGACGAACTATTAGAATTTGATGATTGTTGTTGTAAAATATTAATCATGCATGAAATAGCATCTGATGATGAAAAGCAATTTTGATATGTTTTAAAAAAATGACGTTTTTTCTTTAATTTTATTGTTGAACGAAAATTTTGAACAAGACTATTCCACTGAAATATTGAAGATATAAATATATAGATATATAGAAAAACAAACATGAAAAATACCATTTTTGTTGCTCGAAATTGTGGTGTTTTAGGTTTTTCATACATAGTTAGTCAAATACACACAATTTTCTTTTTTTGTTCAAACTGACTGATTTCATACACAACGAATAAACAAAGACGCGCGTTCTGCTCGTTCTATTTTTAAACCATTGAATTAATTACACATGTGAGGTCACTATATACACGTCGAAGACCGTTATTCTATGCTATTTTAGCTCTTTTATGTAAAGCTAATCAATATAATGCCTATGGCATTGAATAACAGCTAGATGTTTTTTTTTAATTCCAATTCATTATAGGTTCTTCATTTTGATGGATTTCCGTAGTTTTTGTCATTTCAATCAATCTTTAAGTTGGTTGTACTTAGTATTGTGAATTATGCAATAGAATCACTGAATGAATGAAGCTGCAGCACTGCATTGGTTTAAATACTTGGACATTCATTTTAGTACTTTGTAAATACTTTAGATTGATTATTAAAAGCAAATTGTTACTCTAATAGAGACAACTACTTTTAATGAATGAGGAAATTCTTGCAAATGATTAATTGCTTTTCAGTCGACACTATCGGCGCATTATATAGACACTAATAAGCTGTGGATACCCTGTCTCTCAACAACGCGACGGAAAATGGTTTTTCAAATTTCGATTCGAAACTTTACACAGAGACTAAGTGTTGTAAGGAAAGATTATTATAAAAGTTTCAGTTCTTTGAGCTATTCCTATTCTAAAATAAGACTATCAAACTGGTGATGTATATGAGCAACTTAAAAAACATATTTTTATCATAGCAGTATCTTAGAATAGAAACAACGACAAGAACTCAAACATTCACAATCAAGTATTCCTTTTAATGCCAATCTTAATACAAAATTTAAAATCGAAATTGGAAAATCATTTTTCGTAGTGTTTCTGGAAGAATCAGAGCATTATTTTCAAAAAATATCGTAAAAATACTATATCTAGGCAACAATAAGCTAAGAATCTGAATACTTCTCACAATGTCTCTAACGCATTAAGACCTGTGTGATGTGCACAGTCTCGACCCAAAAACAATTAATTAGTTGGGAAACTTTCTTCGTAAGATCTATTTCGGGTAATAAAGAGCAGAAAACGACCGGTGACGTGAGTAATATTCAGAATGCATATATTGAGCAAGGCAAGAAAAAACAGAATTACATCTTCCTTTTTATACCATTAATATTATCTATTGGTTGTTTAATATTAGGATGTGTTGGTGGAAGTGATTTTTATACAATAGTAAGTGACTTTTCTAGAAATGAAAGTGCTTTCGAGTAGTCACCCAAGTTACTATATGCTTGACCAATGTTGTTGTAGTAAGCAGCACAATCGAGACGGTCTTCTAAGTGAATTTTTCGTCCAATTTCAATAGATTTTTCGATAAATGAATTCGCTTCTTTGTTTCGTCCTTGGTCCCGTTTCACCCATCCAAGCATGTGATAGATATATGCTCTATCATTTTCGTCGGATGTCTGTTCGAGTGGCGCAGTTTGCAATTCTCCGACCTTATCAAATTGTCCTATTTTGAGTAGCAATAAACCCAATCGTTTCCACCCAGTCTTACCTGCAGCTTCTTGCCATATACGGTCAGTTAATTGATGAAGTTGTTCGTCGCTCTCTGATGTAAGTCTAGGATTCACTTCATAAAGTGCAAGTTTTGTTATCAAGTTTTCGAATATCACCAATCCGAAAAATGGTATGCATGAAGAAGAGGAGTTCATCTTCGTTCATGTAATAACTCGTCTCGCGGATGGAGGCAAATGGAGTTGATGAAACAGTAGGATCTATGGTCATTTTGAAAATGATACCGACCATACCGGTTGGTTCTAAAGCATCTTTAGCAAAATCGAGTGGTACATCTTGATTTTTACTGGTGGACAAAAAAATTATTGAAAGATAGAAGTCCATCCTTATTTTTTGAGAGTTTTTGGAAGTCGGCTGTCGATAATCCTTGCCCTTGAAAAACTGAAAATGTCTTGCCGTGATAAAGGCTAACCTGTTTGTTGTGTAAGATTTCGATTTGTCGGTGCAAATCACAAAGAAAAAAAACTCATTTTTTATCATGATGTTGCTGTCCAGCATTCGTAATGCACGATTGAACATTTTGTACGTGAAGCATTCTCGTGTATACCACCAAATGGCCTTTGATGGTTGATAAGTACATTTGAATTCTTCAATAATTTTTGTGTCTATGGTACTACCGTGGTATTCTTCTTGACAAAACATGACCAATTCATTGATAGCTTGTTGTCCATGTTTCATATCAAGGAGAATTTCCTTGAGTATTTGGGAATACATAAAGGTAGGTTCCAGCTGATTGACGTTTTCGCTAGAACCCCCTTCACTGACACTAATAATGGTTGCGGATATGTTATGTTGATTACATTGTTTGACAGCCATTTGCAATGGATCACAGATAGGCTTGATTGATGTATGAACACCTTTTATTTTCGTCCAATTTTTAGCCCATGATTCATGTCGTTGTTTGTTGCTACCAAAGATGTAAATAGCATCTAATGTTGGTATATCATGAATGTTTGGTACGAGATATTGTCCAAGTACTCCCGAGGAAATAACAAATGCTGTCTTCTCTTTATTTTCATCGAGATGTTGAATGCATTCCTCAGTTGTGGTGCAAGGATTCACTTCGTTGACCACACAAAGCAATTGTGCGAGTGTATTTTGACCATCTTCATTTGTCGGATCAATATTTCCATCAACCCATATGACCAAATAATTTTCAGCCATGCGTCGTCTTCGTTGCATGGCGGTCAATGAGGCTGTTGGAACTGCAGTGACAGCCATTGTTGATTTCGAAATATTTTGTTTTAATTTTTGACCACTCCTTTTGTATATAATTTTTACTGTTCGATCGATAATCAAGTGTGGCGAATAATAGATCGTTATTTTAACAGAATATCACCTTTACCATTTATATATTCGATGCTCGCTGTTTGTTTTCTAGATTTTTCTACAACGTTAAATTTATCAATTTTGTTTTGTTGATACTCAAAGATAAAAGCCACCTGGTTTCAATCAACAATGTGCTTATCAACAACAAACGAAAGAGAAAAAAATTTAACAGCATCAATGAATTTACGGTTATTCTTTCCAACTTTCGTTTGCTCGTCATCTAGATACTATGTAGTCACTTGAGTATCAATGCGTTGTTTATCATATTTCATTCGTTGTTTGTCTTTCATTTTCTCGAAACGACTTTTTTTTCTTTTTGCGGAGGACGAGAAAAACAAAAACATCATCAGTTCGTGTTTTTTATTATGCATAAAATTGTCTTCCTGACAATGCGTTCGAAACAAAAAGAAAAGTAAATTCAATATTGATTGAATTCACAATCGAACAATGACTGTTATCCTTGTCAAATGCACGGCACGTCAATAATGAGGGATTCAGACAAAACTAACTGCTTTCATCGTGCTTGATTCTCAGCGATATGTGTTGTGCCTTATAGTTACTGAAGTATTGGTAGTTTCCTAATGAGAATTTCAAAAATGAATGCAACATTTCAATGAAGACTTTTCGTACAGATATAGTAAGCAGACAAAAATTTTATCTCATCCTTGCAGCTATAATCTTTCCTTGTTTGATATATTAAAATGTTCTAACTCGAATTCAATGCAATACTTAGAATAAAACTAGCTTTTGCTATTTCTAGAGGATAGTCGTTGCTTGAGTAGAAAATAATTAGTGAGAAAAAATTAATGTTTTGTTTTTGACTGTCAGAGAGATACGTGATTACGAAAGTTTCATTTATATTCGAGCTGTTGTTCGACAAGTATTGCTAAGTTCAGACTTTTTCAGTGCGACTAATTTCATCGTCAGAGTTTGTGCGTATTACTAGCACAATGAATATATCATCACTCAGTCTTTTCTCAAATGAACTTTATTTTATGTTAGATCTATTAGAAGTATCTGTAGATTAAAATAAAATTTTGTTTTCTTTTGCTATTTTCGTTTGACCACATTTGAGATTTGCACAATTTTAACGTGCGTCACAACGACAACGAGGAAATTTTTGCACTATGCATATGTGTATCACCAGAATTATGTTTATAATAAATGTTCTTAGATCGAAAACATACTAAGAAACATCTTCTAATTGAAAATGATGAATACCATCAGCGCAAATTAAAATTACAAAACTTTATCTATCAACGGTTTCTGCTTGTATGCATCAGAAATTGATTTATATATGTTTATATACAATTAAAAAACAGTAAGAAGTATTGCTTATATTTTTTTAAAATTAAAATCGACAGAGCAATTGAAGACATGGATTCTGTTTTCTTCAGTTCAAAAATAAGCGAAAAACATTATCATTGTATTGTATGCTTAATGTCTTTGCGGAAACAGAGAAGTTTGATCTAGGAATAAAAACATTTTCTTGTAACGTTGATTACATGATTGTTTGGTGTTTCTTTTTCAAAATATAACTATGACATACAAGAAAGATCAACAAAAAGCTACACTGACAACGAAAAAAATCAACGAAACAAAAGCATAAATGAACTTTTAAGATTGCTACCATGGTTTTTTTTGTTCTGCTCGTGTCTGTATAGTAAGTGACAATGTACATTTAGACATGCAATTGCTAATGTCGATTAATTTTTCAATTTTACAGTCAACAATCTCTGTATTAAATTATTTTATGAATGTTCTGATTAAATAGTTAATGTTATCATAAAACAATAAAATTACATTCTACTAAATCTTCTATTTAAAGTTTGAACTGCAATAACTCTGAATATTTTACTTGCAAACACAAGTGTATATCATATAACATCATATAAAACTATAACTTGAGCGCAACATAGTCTATAATTTGTTGCTTCAAACAGCTTCGACGTCTTGTTGGTGAATACAAACGAAATAGTAGGATCCGAAATAGATATATTTATCAATGATATTAGATTGCGTGTTTTTTCAACAAATAATAATGCGACGTACCCATAAGATGAGTTTATTGCTTACATTATTGCAACTGATCAAGCGATTTAATTGGTCACGAGTCTTATCTCAAATCGTTTTGGTGTATTCCCTTGACATTCTTTTTGCATAGTTAATAAATTTTATCATGAATATAAACATTGTATATTTTTATTTATTTAATAATAACTTGCTTTTACTTAATGTCAGTTTGAAATAAATCAAGAAATTCAATATTTATTTGAAAATTTTTGATTTATTTCTCTTATTCGCTTTTTTGCATAAAGAGAAATTCATTTATTTAGTCTGCATGAAACATTAAAAATTTAGCTAACCATGCATTGTGTATTCAGTATTTATTAGTTTTCATCTACTAAATTCGCAATGCTAGTATATTTAAAAAATTTTCCGACATAGTATAATGGAAGTGACATAGCTTATCCATATATGTTTTCGAAATTACAACATTTCAACATTACATGTTCGAAGTATCTCTTTTACTATCCATAAAAATCTATTATACTGCGTTTTCACTTTTCGAATATCTAACTATTTGAAATGAATCCTACTTCTAAGCTGAAATTTTGACTATTAATTGGTATTAGAATCAACTTTTAGTGAATAAGATTGAACGATTGGTTGCAAAAAGTAAACTACGACAAAGTCAGTCAAAAGCTTGACATGTCATGTTTCTAGACGAGAAATAACGTGAGCTCATTCCGTTCAATCTTTTTTATGAAGTTATACAAGTTTACTTTGAAAACATTCTATATATATATAGAAAATGTTTGCTCTAGATAAATAATGAGGCGTTTAAGCAAACACATTTAAAACACTTCTTATTTTGTGGTAGGAAAATCATGACTTTCATTTTATCATCGGAAAAAAATTGTTTGGGGCGAATTCTTTGTTTTTATTTATTTGGAATAATTAGTTGCACGTGTATATATATATAGATACAATCAAACATTAAATGAACAAAAAAATGAAAAAAATCAATGAATTCGATGATACAATTGACGTTTTTTATGCCTACACATACTACCACACATTAATACATAACAACAGCACTAGAGATTATAATAAATGATATACATGAAATTTATAATAACAACAAAAAAACAAAACAAAAAAGAAGCTACATCATTTTAATAATGAAAAGCATGGAAAAGAGCAACAATAATAAGAGAACAATATTTCAATTGAAGAGAGGAATGTCTTTAATTTTATGAAGTACTCGATACCAGCAACAAAAGCCAAGCCCTTTGATAATTTTCGAAAAACAAAAACGAATTATTTTACGATATAGTAATGAACATGAATATTTTCGATATTTTTTGCTAGGGAGGCTCAAATCGATACAGAGATTCAACAGGCATAATGGTTTCAATGGATGATGAATCTGGTCCAAGATGAACACCTTTGTTTATTTCAAAATGACCTGATTGACTCTAAACAAAAAAAAAATTAATTTTTAAAATTAATTCATTCTATTAAATTTCCTTGATGATTTACTTTAAGTAAAGTTGAAAAATAATCAAATTTACATAAAAGAATAGGTTGATCATCAATATAATTATCTTTTCCACCACCTGGCCCATTTAATGAACATGCTGTTAAACCACATGTTAACAAAATATAAGCGCCTATATAACAAAGCCAAAGTGTTAAATGATGATAACCTGGAATATTAATATATTGTTCACACATCATCCATAAACTTCGCCAAATTTGAACAACACTAACAAATGCAATTAAATGAAATAGATTTGAAATAAATGCATGTATTAATTTATGATGATATTTTATTAAACATTGTATTATTGGAATTTGTAATAAAGCAAGAAGAAAAAACAATGAATAACCAATTGTAAATGAGATTAACATTGATATTAATTTATCATCTGGATAAATGTATAGATCAGAAAGATTATATAAACCACGCCAAGCAATAACGACTAATGGTGCTTCAACAATTTCATAGAATATGAAATCAAATGTATATTGCCAAAAACGATTCGTCTAAATATTACAAAAAAAAAAAATTATTAATAATCACATAGAAAATAAAATAGATTCTAGATTTCATTTCTATTCAAAGTTTGCCTTCTTGCTTTTGACCCTACTATAGAAAATAATATATTAAGAAATTGTTTTTTTTCCAAAATCGAATATTTCTGCCTATTTATACGAACAAAATATCAATCCATGAACAGAGACATATAAGAATAATAAATGATGAGAAATGATAAGGACAATATGAGACGGAAACTAAGGCTTTTTCATTGGAAACGATACCTTTTAAGGTCGTATAAAGCTTGCATCGAACAGGGTTTCGCGTGGGTTGGGATGAAATAGAAACAATCGTCCCATCGAGATATCATATTCATCAAATAGTTGCCAAAAATGTGAAATTTATTATTAAATTTATACATTTGATTTTATTATACTACGTAGAGTAGTCTAAAAGCAATTCCAAAGTTATTCTATTTTTGTTGATAGAGCTTTAGGAAACTTTCTCTTTATATGTAGTGATAGTAAAAAGAATGCTCTATTTTTCTGATATTTGATCACTCTTCAACAGTGTTTTATGCAGTGTGAGGACGGCAACTTCTGAAAATCGAGTTGGTCATTCTGAAGTTAGCGGTTAATGTTTTAGTACTATGTGCATGTGTTCTCAAAAACAGATGTTTGCTTTTCCAGAAGAAAAAAAATCTGGATAGAACACTGTTCTGCAACTAACATCATAATAACAAAGCTTCGATAAAAGCTATCTGTTATGATATGTAGAGCTAATTTTAGATTGTTTTGTCTTCGGTATGTATTTTCTCCTATGTTACCACCTTTGAATAAGATGAACATTCAATAGCATACGAAAATGAATCTTCGAAAGACATTTTATCAGTTATTATTAAAATCTGAATCAATTCATTGCTTTCAACTATTACCACAAGCAAAATTACATATTTTCTTTATTTATTTATCCATTATCATTCATTTGCTATATTCTAATAACTATAAAACATAATCATTTACGAAATATGACCAAAATTTTATTTTTGCTAATTCCACTAAAATAGACGATGACATTATCAATATAAAAACCATTTATAAAAGTAACTCGATACAATGAGATAATTTCCCAAAATTTCTATTCATGGGGACACTTATCAAAAAAAAACCCATCTCATTCCATGGGATGGAGTTATTCAATCTAACACAAAGTCCTGACGTCAAATGTCAAATTGCCATGACCCATGTGTCCTATATAGATAAGAGTAAAATGATTCCAGTCTTAACGGAACCAATTTTTTCTCTAGACTGCAATCAACAATGACGGTTTCCGCTCATGTTCATATAAAACATATCATTATCCATCAGTTACTATTATTACGAGATGTAGACAGAGAATAACTCTTCTATCTAAGATTTAATTAATTTTTTTCTTAAGCTACAAATAGATTCTTCTGTGTTAAATAAATCTATTTATTAGAATTTCATATTCTTATCTAAGTAATTATTTCTAGTTATTCTAAAAAATAAAATTGAAAGCCGTTTTTTTTTAAACTTACTGAAACATTACATTTTGAACCAAGTATAAAATAACTTTCAGTATCAACACCAATTAAAAATGGTGCTGAATTAAGACTATATATTGATTTCATACATAAAAGTAATATAATACTTATTAATGTTTCAATTAATAAATGATACCAAACATTACTTGTAAAATCTAACAAATTCCATAAACCTCGCCATTGGTTTATATAAGCTAATGCAATTATTAATGTATAAAATCTAGTCATAAATTGTCCAAGAATATTTTTTCGATGTTTTTCATAGAATATTTGAAGAAAATTTTGTATTAAATAAATTAAATAAAGAATCATAAGACCAAATATCAATGATATAAATGCGCTTATACGTTCATTGTTAGATAATAAATTTCTATCAAGTAAATCCCATGCACCACGCCAATGTATATTAACTAGTGGTGTTATTATAAATGCTGACATCAACATATCCGTTAAATAAAATTTAATAAATGAATAATAATTTGATGTTAATTTATTATTTGGATTTTGAGGAATTTTTATTTTGGTATCTTTTGTATAACTGGGTACTTCTTCATGATTTTTATCATTAAGAAGTGGTCGGGCAAGGCTTGCTTCACTACTTGATGTACTTAAATTTATATATGCATCATATGGAGGTATATTCACTGTTGTTGATTGAGATAAATCAGTATTTATTGAATCACTATCATTTATTTCTATGATTGTACATTGATTAACGACGTCATTATTTGTTGAAAAATTTATATCCAAAGATGGTGTTAGAAAAAGATCTTGATTATTAATATCATCTTCGGATGACGTCGTTGATCGAATCATGGATTGTTGATCAGCTGAATTCGAACTATAAACAAAATTTTTATTAAATATTTAAATAACAAAAAAATAAATAACATACATGTTTGTAATCTGTGCCATACAACCAATAATAGGAATACCAGTACGTATAACTGGAGCCAAAGCCGAAAGAATCTATGTGAAAAAAAATAACAATAGATGAACGAAAAAGAAAACAAAAGCAAGCTAAACTTACTTTCAATGTATTCAGACAACAATGTGCATGGCATGGCTTTGATTTCTAACTAGCATAAAGTAAAAACTGTAAAACATCCAATCTAAAATAAGAAATTTTGTTGGTTTTTTATTGAAAATCTATTTTAGTTCGAAAAGAAAAAAACAAAGTCTCTTACTAGCAGAGAACGTGTGTTCACCGAAGAAAGCCACTCTATTGATTTAATAAAAATTGAATAAAGAAGAATAATAATTGACGTTAATAAGCTTCGGTAAAATACGCTGTCTAATCTAGAAGGGCAAAAAAGAATTTCTTTATATATATATATATTTTTTGTTTTTTGTTAGCAGCAAAGCAAGATACGCTACTCACAAACTTCCCGAACAATGTTTAGAAAAGAGAAAAAAATGGAAGAATAAAAAATGTTAGCTCTGAAAATAATGTTGATAGGAAAGAAAGAAGAGAGAGAAGAAAAAAAAAGTTTTTCTCATAGACATAACAAATAGCCTATTTGCCGAATGTGTGTCGTTGAAATGTCAGTCCGAGGAAGGGAAAAAAAGAGAAAAAGATAATGACGTCAAAATAAAGGATGTGAACAAACCAATGAAAATTCTTTTAGTCTGTTTGTTATAATGTAGACATCTGCTCATCTTATTAGATGTCATACTTGTGTAGAATCTGTCAGAAAAAAATAAACTGAAAAATAAATGGAATTATTTAATAATTTCATTATTTGTTTTTTTTTTTGTGTTAATAAAAACGGAGTTATTTATTTGTTTTTTTTGTATAATCGAAAGATGACTCTGTAAAATATAAAAATTAGGTTGAAAATACTTTAATATAAGTATGTTATCTATAGCTGATAGAAGTCATATACTCAAAAATTTAACCGCATACCTCAATCTATTTTTACCTTAGTAAACCATTGTCAATCATGGGTTATAAAAAATCAGATACGTATTCAATGCAATTATGTTACTATCAAATATACGTCATCATTTCAGTACAGTCATATATAGTGATAAATGATTGAGTAATACTTTTTCGCAACTACATGTAATTTCATACTTATTTATTCATGATAAAAAGAAAAGACGTAAATCGCTAAAAACTTATCAATTATTGTTTGAATATATATCTTTGTAAGGTATCAATTTCATTGTTACTATCTAAAAATTATGACGAAAAAGAAGTCAGTAGAAGTATTCAATATCAATAATCATACAGCATCATGATTATTTTCAATATGTATTTCATTCCTTTTATTGATTCAAAGTTTACATACTTTTCATCGATATTCTAGTCGAGAGTTAAACAAATTCGTTCTCTTCAAATGATTCAGTATGTTTGAAAAGGTTACAATATCATGTTGTCAATATTTATATAAGAAAAAAAAAACCTTTTTAACTGTTTGATCATAATAGAAAATATTACTATTCTTACAATGAGAATTAAATATATTTTTTCTTTTATTACCTAAAGTTGATTATATGAAACAAGCAAATTTTCAAAAGAATTATTGTGCTAGCCCATATTAAACTATTATTATAATATAGGATGGTAAAATCTTTTGAAAAATGTCAAGCTGTACCACTTATTTTTGAACCATTCTGATGAACTTTCAGAAAATCATTCGATAGAGAATTTTATGCTCTTTGCTTCGACGACCTAGTCAAGTTTTGTGCTTGTATTATTCATGAGAATAAAATCTACGGATATCGTTTTTTTTTTTATTTATGTCGGAAAAAAACATGTTTTTCAAAGCGAGACTTATTGTATGAAACAGACATTCTCGCATTGTTAGTTGTGAAATTTAATTCCGAAAAGAATGTTGTGACTGCTAAGTTGAAAAGCTGTAAGCACAATTCCCGTGGGATTAATATGTAAGACACGATGTAGCTGCTATTGTTAATCGTAGACAAGTAGTTTTATTCTAACCAACGTATACATTCTCTTTACAGCATATCTGATGAGTTTTTGTCTACTTATAAGTCACGAAAGGAAATCAAATGTGATTACCTACAGTCAGACTTGCATACTCTTTCATATTAACGATAAAGAATCGTGTTTTACCTGAAAGCTAGGCCATAGAGAACAAATCTTTGATGATGGTTAAAACTGACATTTATATAGCATACTAATCTACAAGATATTGCTAAATATATTCGTTCATTTTTTTTTGAAAAGTTAATTTCATTGAAGAAACTGAAAAACAGTCTCTTAGAATAAGAATTTGATGTTCTTTTCAAATGATTATTTAAAATCTTTTACTGACTTACAATTAAGAATTTTATTATCTACTAAATCATACATTACAGTAAGCTAGAACTTAAAAAAGTATCGAAGTCTATGTACACTTGTCGAACGACTATTCTTTATGTGAGATGGTATTTTTCAAAAAAATCAATTCTTTCAAATTTCGATACTCAGAATGTAATAAATTTTGATTATTTGTAGTAATATCTAAAAAGAAAAAAGCGAATTGGGTATTTTGTAGAGCAAACTTCGTTCTAAACGTTTGAATTTTTAATAGTTTGTGTCGAAATTGAAAACTGAACAAGACAAAAAATTTTGTACAAGTGTCGTTGCTGATCTCCATTAAAAGTTTGTTCTTCATGAACAAACTTTAAGCTAGAGAAAAAATTCTTAATATATTGTTAAAAAGAGCACGAAATTCTAATTCTAGTTGATTACTTTTGATTCTCTCTCGTGATTTATAAGTAGATGAAACTTGATTACACAAATAGTGCAAAGACGTTTTACACACAGGTTATTTATCTTGGGACATATTTCTTCATCGCTTTTTACTTAATACTCCAGAAATGCAGTAAGAATGTGGTTCATATGGTATAATGAGATGTTATTGATTTACGCTCTTTGATGGTATATCAGCAGAGTATATGATTTTCTCTATCTTGCGTCTGTCACGATCTAGAGGCACTCGAATATCTACCTTTTACACTTCAACACTCCTTATAGATTGTGTTTCAGAAAAGTACAAACGATTAGGTTGTATCGAATCAAGAAAAAGAGCAATCAAATAATCCTATCAAACAACGTTTTATCTTCGGCTTTCACTTCATGATTATTCTCCTAAATACTTTTTCTGAAACATATGTCAAAAGACGTGAGATTTTGTAGCGCGTTTTTCAATTTCAGATAATTGTTATCCCAAAACCAAAATTCGCATTATTTTTCCGCTTGTTTCGACTTTCTCAATTGGATAATTGAATACATGTTAATAGTTAAAGTTTTGTTCTAACAGAAACAAACTTGTAGAACAAATGTAAAATATTCTCTATCGAATGACTTTGTTAGCTTGTGGCTTCGTTCGAATATTTATCCATAAAAAAATTACAATAGATTTTCATTAAAATTCTTTTGGTATTTGTTTGGAATCTTCCAGCTATAAGATTCGTATGTTTTTTTTTGACTTTACTATTATAACTTACAAACTTGCAATGAAATATTTCATGGGTCTTGTTTATAATACATTACAAGTACGGAAAGCGAATGGCGAATTTTGTATCGGTGAAAATTAGGCCACTGTTATCTATTGTTTTTTGATATATGATGGCATATGTTGTCTTACAGATCATTATCCAGTCCGGAGCTTTTCAACGTTTTCTTACAAAGATTAATGTCTTTTGTTGATGATTATTTGATGATAGGTCCTATTCGAAAGTGTCTTGCAAGTCTATGTTGACATATAATGTACCGATTAGATGATCATTTCGAAGTGGTGCCTTTTCTAATCTATATTCGAATTAAATTATGACAAAAATGTGTATGATAGTTTGTTTTTTTATACTTGAAGACTGATATTGAAGATTTATATCAAGAACAGACGAAAGTTTTTTTATGAATCATTAAATGTGCAAAATAAAAGTCTTATAATATTTAAATTCTTAAGTTTTTTTTATTCAAAAATTATAAATAATTAATCAATCTCATTAGTTCATGATTAATTCATACTTCTCTCAATCCAAATGCAGACTACTAAATAGTATCAATATTCAATATAAAATGTTACCTTCAACTGTTGAACACGACCAACACTTGAAGACATAAACACATTTTTTTTTCCTTGATATTATTGTCTCAACAAGAATAGAAAAATATCTGACAGTCTCTAGAAGTATAGGAGTTGCTAAATATTATCAAATATTATAAAAAAAACTATTGCGTACTAGCAAAAGTATTGAATCCATAGTAAGCATAAACCTGTTTTACTATGTCTATTTATTTAATTATTCTATTTCGATGCGTGTGTAATTCAAGATTACTATTCGATAAAAATGGCAACAAACATAGATCAATACTTATTGATGATAATTGTGTTACTTCTTTTAATATTTCTTCTAATATTACAGAATTTTCCATTCGATAAATCTGTGAAATGTTCAAATCTTTTCAATTAAACAAATCAATTATTATTTTGAGACATTTGAAGTTATACATGATGGAAAAATTCTACATAACGTGACAATAAGTCATCGTTGAGAGTTAATAGTTATTTTGTTAGAAAGAGCAAAATCTCTTTTACAAGATTCTGTAAAAATGTTTAGTTTAAAATATTTACTGGATGATGAAAAGTTTAAGAAAACATGTTTGACTGGAAGAATTCTTTGCATGCCTCTAGAATTTAGAAGAGAAGATTCATCCACTATGAAATTTGATCTTTTATCGAGTTTTGTACCATTACGATAAGACATTACAAAAGAAAAAAAAAAGAAATTTTCAGCTTATTAATTAAGTTCAATATCAACATTTTGCTAATAGCCTTGGCTAGCGAAAAGTGTTCACAACTAACAGTTTATGTCGAAAGATAAGAGTTTTTTAGCAATTGAAATTAACGAAGAACTTCATATTTCATGTCCAATTAAAGTTAAGCAAACTATATAAAACAGAATATCAGGCATTATGAAAAAAGCTTCATTAACTGTTTTAGCGAGAAAATCACGTTTTTAATAAAAAGTGCTCTTTATAGAACCTGTGATTTTTTAACTGAAATACTTTGAGAGCTCTCGAAAGACCATATTGCACTGATTACACTCACATGTCACATAGCTAAAAATTTCAAAAATCAAGCGAAAAATACATCGGTCAAATGAAGTTTTCATCACTGATTTTGTATGAGTTTGCAAGGCATTTTTTCTAGTCATACAAGTTCTTAAAATCTTTCAGCCTACTGTAAGTACTTTGAACTAAATATTTTTTACAGTTTTGTAGAAGACACTTTGCTTTTTTCAACTAAATAATTGTGAAGTCTTCTCAACGAGTTTTTATCACACTGTACTGAAAAGAACATTAATATAGAGCTTTAGCATCATCCATTAGTTTTTTTTTATGATAATTGAGTTCGTATTTGGTTAGTTTTAGGTTGATGATTTGTTAAATTGAGATAATTTAGACTAAATATAAATGATAATATTGATTTTACCGTTTCGGTATTATTCTTATTAATGCACGTCATGGTTAATGGACGCGTACAAGAAGATATACGAAGTTAAAATGATTAAATTTGATCAGGTGTATTGACATGTTATAATTTGAACGAATAAATATGATTTTAGGCTTCTGGATTCAATGGAATTTTGTGACAGAATCCAGTTAATGAATGATATATATCTAGTCAATTGAAATCTTCGAAACATTTTGTAAATATTTTGTTTGAGAATAAATCAATTTTGATAAGGGTGTGTGCCATTCATCGTATATAGAGATAGT